TTCAGCTGTTGGCCTTAAACTCAATCGTCTGCAGTTTGGTTATCGAAATAAAAAATTTATTTTCCCCTTACAATTATTAAAAACAAGAATGTTAACAACAACAAAAAAAGAACAACAACAATAATAATAATAATAATAATAAGGTACTACTATTAAAAACCTGTCTAATTTATTGCCAATGACAAGTCTGGCCTCGAGACGATCCTGCTCGGATATTTCTGGCAGTATGTTCCTCTCCACCAACTCAACCCTCGGGGGTCGCTGACTAATTAGGCGAGCCAAGCTGTCCGACCGACGTAGCTTCGCTTCTAAAAGTATCCGGATTAATTGATTGATTGACTAAATGAATGGAATGAATGAATTGGATGAATGAGTGAATGAATTGGATGAACCAATTGGATGAATGAATGAATGAATGAATGAATACATGAATGAACAATAAATATGCTGAATAAATGACTGAATAATTTACTTAGTTTCTTTAACAAATGAATAATTAGCGTAATAATTATAAGCATAAGCCTATTAATTAGCATATCATTTAACATAAACATCTCTGAAAGCCTACCTAATTGTTCAGTAGTCATGTGACCACAGAATTCATTGAAATGTAATGACGACGAGGATGATGACGAGGAGGAGTTCTCTTTTTCGGAAATCTTAACTCCATCAACTGTAATTTTGCTGTGAAGTAATCACCAATATCATAATAAATTAGGATAGTAGAAACAATTTTCAATATAATTTTTCAACATTGTGAATACATTCCTTTTTATTAAAACACCAATCCTGCCCACAAATCACTACCGAATTTGACAGCCATCTACAGCAAAATCAGTACTAACACTGGCAACACCGGTTTTGGGGCAACTTTTGGCGGGACTTTTGGCGTGCCCACCGGACTTGACCTCGAAATGACCTTGAAATTTTGACCACAAGGGCTTGCATCTCTAGATAGGGAAGTGAAGACGGGACTGTTGACACCTGCAATGACCTGCTGTTTCATGATCAACTCACGGGATTTCCCACCCTTCAGGGCACTTCTAATAGGTCGTTTGGAAAAATCGGGTTCGTGAACTTTGACCTCTTCAAATTCCGGGGCTATTGTATCAACAGTGCCCCAGCTTGGATGCTGCTGCTGCTGTTGTTGGTTTGAGAATGATATGACTTGGAACTCGGTCGTTTGTTCTTGCTGATCTGAGGAATCGATGTATAACTGCTGTTGTTGTTGCTGAAGTTGTTGCTGTTGTTGCATGTGATGGCTTAGAAGCTGTTGCTGCTGTTGTTGAAACTGTTGTTGTTGCTGCTGTTGATGTTGTTGAAATTGTTGCTGCTGCTGCTGAAGTTGTTGAAGATGTTGTTGCTGGATGTAGAGAAGTGTGGGCGCTGAATGATGGAATGATTGTTTTGGTTTTATAGGAAACGTCGTTGGAACATTATTAACGTCACTGACAGTTATTTACAACATAACATTTGCTAAAAATTAACTTAGTTCGTCTTTTTCTACAGGTAGGAAAACATTTGAAAAATGTCTCCAACCAGCTGATGACCAGTCGAGGTTATAATTTTTAAAGCATGCTGGTCCGCTTAGTTAGAGAACAAAAATGAAAAAGTTAAACATGCAAAATATCAAAATAAATAACCAGGCATGGAAGACTTATTGCCCTTGTCATCAATATCATCACCCCGAGCACCGCAACCCTCATCGCCATCGTCGTCGTCGTCGTCTTCGTCGTCATCATCGTTTTTGTCGCCATTTTTATTCCAACGCTCTTGAGATCTCTTTACAAATGCGGCACTGGCGTTCAACTGTTTTAACAAATTCGTTGGCAACAATTTCACTTCTTGGTATATTTGTTGTTGTTGTTGTTGTTGCTGCTGCTGCATCAAAACCAACTTCTGTGGTTGTTGTGGTGGCTGTGCTAGAGCTCCATTCATCTCAGAAGATTGGTGTTTTAATTTAAGAAAATGTTGTTGTTGTTGCTGTTGAGGTTGCTGCTGCTGCTGCAATAATTGTTGTTGTTGCGTTAACAACTGTTGTTGGGCATCTGAATTGAAATTGAACTAAACAGTATTGACAATTTTTTCTAATGAGTTGAATGCAAAATTAACGGTGCAACTACAACAACTGAACAACAACAAATAAGCAAACAATAACCGAACAACAACAACCAAACTACAAGAACAACAACAGACAAGTGCGCCCGACACGTTGAATATAATTGAAAATGACTGTATAAAATATTTTGAATTAACATGCTCAGGCAACATATGAAAAAACAAAATTACGTTTTGAAAAAAAAACTTTCTTCAAAATATAAAAATGAATGAATGAATAAACAAATGAATGAATGAATGAATGAATGAATGAATGAACAAATGAATGAATGAATGAACAAATGAATGAATGAATGAATAAACGAAAAAAGATTGATTGAATGAATGAATGAACAAACAAACTTTAAACTAACGAATAAAAAATAAAGATAAGATATGATAGCTAAAGACAAATGAAAAAAATTAAACACATTTTGAAACCAAGCCAGATTGAAAATTTGAAAATGTTTAAATAACGTCAAATCAAATAAAACAATAGGAAAGCAGAATATTGCACTTCATATTATTAGCAAACATGCAAGCCACAAATTTCTTTTTTATAAGTGACTGATTCAGAATATAACTATCATAGAAACAAAGTGAAATAAAAAAACACGAAGCTACATTTACGAGTAGAAAGTTGAAAATATTCCAAAATACCTAATATTAAAAATATCAAACTTAATAGAAGATATAACAAGAAAATTTTACTCAACAAGAAAAATAAAACAATAATTTATTGTTTATTCTTTTTTTGAGAAGCAAATAAAATTTGAAAATTTAAAATAAAAAATTTAAAAATGATTAAAACTAAATAGATGAAAGTAGAAAGATAGTAGCGCCATCAGTTCTCATGCCAGGACAAACAACTCCAACGCTGTAATTAACCACCAGAGAGACAACATATTAGAACCTTGAAAAATTTTTAAATTCTGCGCCATTGGCAAGTAAGCATGGTGAACAGTTGACGGAGAGTTTAGTGCTGAAATTGATCTACCAGGAACATGATGCTGTTGTTGTTGTTGATGTTGTTGTTGATGTTGCGGTTGTTGCTGCTGACGCCTATGAAGATGGTTCAACTTAGACGCCATGCTATTTGAGTCAGTTGAGTAACTACGGACTACGGCTGGGTTGCCGGACCTACTCTTAAAGAATAACTTGGAAGATGACGAAGACGATGAAGATGACGAAGACGTTTGTTTGTTGGTGCAGATTGTTGTGTTGTGGCGTTTTGGCGGGTCGGGGGGTAGAGATAAGGGCGCGTAGATAAATTTCTGTAGAACTATTTGATTGCTGCTGTTGTTGTTTTTGTTGCTGCTGCTATTAATGTTGTTGTTGTTGCTGCTGATTGTACTATTATTCATGTTTGCGTTTTTGTTGTTTGCGTTCATGAAAGATTTGACATTGCTGTTACTTAGATTGTTGTTGTTGTTTATGATGAGTGTTTGTTGGTGTTTGTGGGAATGTTGAATTTGTTGTTGCTGCTGCTGTTGATTTTGTGCTTGGTGTGGCTGCTGCTGATGTAGCTGCTGCTGTTGCTGCTGCTGACTTATGGTTCTAGTTTGATGCTTTAATATCGAAACTGGATAAGCAGGCAAACTGAATCTTTGCTGGAGAGATGGAGTCGATGATGAAGAAGACGAGGCCGCAGCCGATGACGACGACGACGGTGAATGAGAATGATGATGATGGTGGTGGTGGTGGTGATGTTTTGGAGCAGATGGCAAAGAGTGAGATGATGTAGACTGTGTTGGAGTCATGTATTGTTGTTGTTGTTGCTGCTGCTGTTGTTGTTGTTGAAACAGGTGTTGTTGACTGTGTGTGGATTGAAATGTGGCTGATGATCTGTAGACTAATTTATTCAGAAAGGTTTAGAATATTTTTCCATCGATTCATCCCGCCGACCATCCGTCAATCATTCCACGGAATATTAGGCCCAGCACACATATAGTTTTGTGTGTACATCATCATGTAGGCGTGTAAGTAAAGTGAATGTCCTAATGTTAATGTACATAACAATGCAACCACACGCACGCACACGACTATTACTACTACTTTCACTATTACTACTACTACTACTACAACTAGTTCTACTGATACTATAATCATCATCATCGCTACTACTATTACTACCACCGTTGTCATTGAAAAAGTTCTAATACATTTGAAAGTACTTGAGCTGATGTTATTGTTTTAATAAAATTTAATATTCAAAAATAGGTTAAATTGACAATAATTTTTGCAATATGTAAAACTAACAAAATAACAAATGGCACTTCAAATCAAATTGACTTAAGAGATCAATCTCTCTCTCTCTCTCTAACTCTCTCTTCTCTCTAACTCTCTTTCCCTTTCTATACATCAACAAATATGAATACATGCCTACATATGCACAAAAAAAAACAAAATGATTGAATTCCCAGATGATGTAGAGCAGACGCAGTGGCGGATTTAGGTTTTGAAGCGCGGGGGGGGCGGCGTAATATTTACAGGGGCGATTTTTTGAAATCATAACGGGTGACACATTTATTGGAATAAAAATGAATTATGTTTTTTTATTGCTTTTTTTCAAAATAAAAACCTATATTAAGAAATAATTAATTAAAACAAAAGTCAGTTCAAATAAATGGTTTTCTTCTTGATTTCATTGTAGCAAAACGATTTATGGTTGAATCAAAATCAATATTTTCAGCAAGTTGTCGTTCAATTGCAATTAATGATAACCCAGATAATCTCCATTGGTCATCGTTGATCTTAAATAATTTTTTATAATTTTTAATTTACTAAAACTTATTTCGGCTGTAGAAGATGTTACTGTCAGTGTCAAGAATATTTTATACAAAATGGAAAGATTAGGAAGAGCTGGAGCCATTTGTTTACTAATAAGAAAAGGTAACATTTCATGGATTTTAAGATCTTCAGGTAGTGATGAACATATAGATTCATAAACATTTTTCAAAGTTTCATATTCTAAAACAGCTTCATTGTGGTTAATATCATTATCATATATTGCACACAATATTGAAAAAGTTGTGTTATCTGCCAAGAATTGGGATGGATCAAGACAATGGAAATTTGCAACTATTTCACAAAAATCATGAAAACGTTCTTCCAATTGCATTAAAAGTGTGTCTAAAGTTGCAAAGTATAGGAGAGGAGGAGGATGATGATGAAGACGGTGATGAGGGAATGATAATGATGATGAAGATGACGATGGTAAAAAAAATATGGTGCTGATACAGAAATGATGATAGCTGATTAAGATGATGTAGAATGAAATGGTGTCAAAAATAATGATGACAATTATGCAAATTATAAAGCAATTATTATTAAATTAATATGGGTAATGTCATAGCAAAAAAATAACACAACACAAAAATATCCTTCTGTATATTTTATTTTAAATTTTAAAAATATGACAGCGAAATTATATTATAACTATAATTAATACATTGTAATAAATAATTGTAATAATCATTACATAAAAAAAAACTAAAAATGTATACCTCATATTAATTACTGACCTGTAACAAGAGGTGTTATATTGTTTGAAGTGAAAGCAATTTGACCACCACAACTACTACTATTAGTACCATCAATTTGTTGCTGCAATTGCTGCAGCTGCTGTTGTTGCAGCTGCTGCTGCTGTTGTTGCTGCTGCTGCTGGGGAGATAACGAGATGGCATCAGATAATGTTGATGACATCACTGACAGATTGTGACCATTTAGAGACAAGTCTAAGGTAGCATTTGTTATGTAACTGTTTGTTGTGTCAAGTCCTTAAAAAAAAAAAAATTGTAAAATTGTACATATAAATTATATATATATATATATATATATATATATATATATATATGTGTGTGTGTGTGTGTGTGTGTGTAGAGAGAGAGAGAGAGAGAGAGAGAGAGAGAGAGAGAGAGAGAGAGAGAGAGAGAGAGAAAATAGGAAGAAAAGAGAAGAAAAATAAAAAAAGAAAAAGACAGAATAAAAAGTTATATAAATTATAAAGATTAGGAGGTACATCACATTCATACTAGAAAAGTTAACAGCAACCTTGCTGGTCAGTAGAAATTTGATGTAGTTTGTTGTCAGCTACCATTATATCAGCATCATGGAGTACACCTCTTTTCACTAGTTCTTCCTTGCTCAATCTTTCTGACATTTTTTTCTCTAAGGCTTTTTTGTTAAAGATTTTACAATTAAAAATATTGAATAACACTTTATTCTACCAAGTAAATTGTATGTGCATTCAATGCACTTTGTGGAGTTTGGCAATTTATTAAAATAATTTTAAAATTATATAATTTTTAAAATCTTTAAAAAATAATTAACATTATTATTTACTAACTGTAGGCTCCTTTTTCAATTTTTTCACTTCGTTTCTTTTTCCTGTTCCACTTCCACGGTTTGAACAACTTCCCCAACGTAGACTTCATCGTTCGGGACTCCAGGGACGGCGACTCCGGAACGGTGGGGACACCAGCAGACGATTCCATGGCATAACAAATTCAAAGGCAAGTGGAAGCAGAAGAATCAGTAAAAAGATATTTGTGAATTAATTAAATTTAAATTTAAATCTTTATTTTGTGTGACCATGGAGTTAAAATTTTAGCAAGAAAGGGCAAAAATACTTAAATGGGAAACACAAAATTTAAATTTAAAAATAGTACATCACAAAATTTGTAAATACTGAATTAGAGAACATGTAAACGTAAGTGCAGATGCTATGACAATAAAAAAAAGTCTAAAAAAAATCGAGTACCGAACGCGATTGATTCCGATCGGGTACAGAGTTAAATTTTATCAATAAAGTGCTTTGAAAAACTAAATTATTTAATAATTTAACTTTATTGAATTATTTTTTAATTAAAAAAATCAAAAATTAATCCAAATTTGCGAAGAATTATCGTGAATGTATAAGCAATGACAGATGGTGCATCTCCGTATTTATTTATTTCGGATTCACTAGTCATTGATTTTTTTCCTCGAAACAGAAATTTCTTCTAAATAAAATTTATGTTTAATTTGAAAAATCTAATCGTTGACTTTCTCGAGTTGACAAAGTAACAAATTTTTTCAACCTTTCGAGGTGTACTTTTTGTTTAAAATTTTCATTTCGACGCGTATTTAGACGTTTTTTAATGAAATGTCTCCTCATAAAAAAAAATTCCCAGCACTTCCATTTTTCTGTTGTCTTTTTTTTTACTTTTAATTATTCTAATTATGTCTGGTGCTGGATCTTATAACATGGATGAAGGATTGTTTTAAAATTTATTGTGTTATTCAGTCATTTAATTAGTTTGTATGACTGCTTTTATTTGGTTTTTAAGAAAAAAATTATTTGCACTTCTTTTATATAAATTTTATATTCATACTAATATTAATTATTAATGATGTAGACTTTCAAAATTAAGTTTTAAATGTTAAACTTTTTATTTTTTACTTTATTTTATGTTTATAGTTTATTGCATCATCATGTCATAAAAATAATAACTAGTCTGGTTTTTGTGAGCTTCTATGAATCAAATTATACTTAGTCCAATGAAACAAAATCAGAAAATGATATTTTATTTACATTTTACCAGCAGGCAAATGACGTTATCCCTACTAAGCATCTTACTCAAGTTAATCATGTTGCAGTTTTTATTGGTTGGCTTTTTGTCACTTTTACTCTACTTCAGCCTGCTGATGTTAAAATGTTTAACAAGAATCCTGGCCAGATATCAGCTACCACATCTGAGACAACACTCCACTAATGAACCAAAACCAGTTTTAGTTGGGTTTTTTCATCCTTATTGCAATGCCGGAGGTGGTGGAGAAAGAGTTCTATGGTCATCAATTAAAGCTTTGCAGCAAAGGTTAGACGGCTGTTGTTATCTATATGGTGTCATCATAGACTGCAGATATTTATCATGAAAATATCTAACTAATTCAAGCTTTGTTCAAATTTATGCATCTCTAATTTTAAATAATCTTAAAAATAACCTTTTCAAATTTATTTTTCTAACTAGGTATGACCATGTGAGATGTGTCGTATACACGGGAGATTTGGATGTATCAAGAGATGAAATACTGAAAAAGGTGAAGGATCAGTTCAACATTGATTTACCCAGAACAGACCCAATCAGTCTGTCTTTCTGTCTTCTGCAGAGCAGAAAATTAGTGGAGGCATCAAATTATAAAATTATGACTATGCTGGGTCAAAGTACTGGATCTGTTTTGTTGGGATTGGAGGCTCTGTTCAAGTTCATACCAGATGTTTACATTGATTCCATGGGTTATGCATTCACATTACCTTTGTTTAAATATCTAGCTGGCTGTCGTGTGGCCTGCTATGTTCACTACCCGACTATAAGCTCTGATATGTTGCAAGTTGTAAGTGCTTTATAGATATTGTCCAATCATTTGGTTTTTCTTTAGTAAATATAAATGATTTTTAATGTTTCAATTTATCAAAATTAATTTCAAATTAGGTTTCAAATAGAGAGCATGCTCATAACAATGAACAATTTGTTAGCAGGAGTAGGTTCATGAGTTTATGCAAATTCATGTATGTTTTTGTCAATAATGTTATATAATTAGTTTAATGTGGCCCATTTTTATAACTTTTTCAAATTTACAAGTCAGTCTTAGAAATTAAATTTGTTAATGACAATATTAATAACACTTCTATAATCCAATAACTCAAATTAATGTGAAAATCACAAAGATACTACAAGATATTTGCATTTGTCTATGGTTTTGTTGGCCGGTTTTCGGATGTTGTGATGGTCAACTCAACATGGACCAAAAACCACATAATGGACATCTGGAAGATTCAACCAACCATCGTTTATCCCCCATGTAATGTCGAAGAATTTCTAAAAATAGGACGCGACGTCAGTGTCGAGGATGGCTTCCTAAAGCTGAAAATTAACAAAAATGGAGAGGGTGAAGTTGATGACGACAACACCAAATACATTGTGTCCATTGCACAATTTAGGTTAGTTACATGATTCTTTGTATAAAACTTGTACAACAATATAATAAGAATATTGTTATAAAGATGGAACCCAATGTTAACAGCTGTTAAAACATTCGTTTAGATTGTTATAAAGATGGAACCAATGTGAAAACTAATTACTATTTTTAATGACAGGCCTGAGAAAGACCACTCCTTGCAACTGAAATCATTCAAGAGGTTCCTGAAGAGCGTAGAAACAGAAGAGGATGAGTGTAAGAAGAATGAATTGAAAAAAAACATTTACAAGTTGGTCCTGATTGGAAGCTGTAGGAATGAAGAGGACATGCAGAGGGTAGACAGATTGAAGAACCTTGCAGAGGAACTGGAAATAACATCATCCGTTGATTTCAAAGTAAATATTTCATTTGCTGACCTGAAGGAATTCCTCAAGAAGGCATCTGTGGGATTGCATACAATGTGGAATGAACATTTTGGAATTGGTTAGTAGTAAGTAGGCACAGTCAGAGTAATAATATTTCAATTAAAATTTCAATCAAATCATTGAATAATTTGAAAGTTGAAAACTATCTTATTACTTTTCAAGAAATGTTTTAAACATTTTTACGACCAATTTTAGGAATCGTTGAGTGCATGGCCGCAGGGGTCGTTATGTTGGCTCATGATTCTGGTGGACCAAAGTTGGACATCTTGGCAGACTATGAAGGACAGCAGACCGGCTTCCTGGCGTCAGATGAGGTGACATATGCAGAAAAATTAGTGGAAATATTCACGTCTCGGGAAGAACAATTGTTAGAAATAAAAAGGAATGCCAAGTTATCTATCATGAGATTCTCAGATGAATGCTATCATGCAAACTTTTTAAACGCCACAGACGAACTTCTGGGTGACTGACATTAATTAGCCCTTTCATTGTTGTTGTTGATACTAATATTTAAATAAAATAAAATACAGATTTTCAATTTGTTAAATGATTTTCAATGACTTTATCTCATAAACTTTAATTAACTTGAACAATATTTCAATACGTGACATTCTTCAATAATATATTTTGATAATAAATTCGTAATTGTTTATTCAATGAAGAAAAAAACTAAATTTTTATACATTTATCCCAAAATATATTGAAAAAACATGTTGACAGTTTTTAGAAGTTAAATATTGAAGCAGTAGACTTGTGTCTGTATGTCCGTCCCTGCAGCCTGCAGTTTGAAAGCACATTTCTTCAAAATCTTTAAACTTTCTCCAGCTACTGTAACTTTCATGTTGACACACTTCCTGGTGTTTCAACACAATCTTCTGCCACTGCATTGACCTTATCCTCTGCCAGAACTCATCAACATCAGCCTGATAACCCTCAATGCATATTATTCCAGGTTTGCCTGCACAACTGAAACCAGTGAGGTTCAATGATTTTGCTGAATCTAAAATAGTTTTCCTTTTGGTCTTGTTGTATATATGATGTGAGTATATCCAGTATCTACACAATGAACCAGATTTATTGGAAAGAGTTCTGCTTTTAGGAGATTTGTGATGTTCAGCATTGGCCTTTTTGTCATTTTCTATGTAAGCATCTATCTTTTCCACGACCCATTGTATGATATCCAGTACAATTGGTTCACCAGTGAGTAAATTTGTTTTGATGTGATGCTGTAGGTCAACAAAAAATTTATCTGAGGACTCCCTACTTAATGGGTCATCACATCTAACTGAAATGTCCGGTGGAGTCCTTGGATAAGTGGTTGGTAGGTCAAATGTCAACTCTACATGGTTCTGCGTAAATTTTTTTTTCAATGAATTAAGATTAAGATTAAACATTCTGTAACCAGAGTATAATATAAGACAATTATTATAATGTTATTAATCAAAATATGTAAATTTCACAAAATATTATTGTTTTATTAAACTTTTTAAGAACAAATTAACTGAGTAAAAAGCTAGCATCACATATTTTACAATATCAAATAAAAAGTTAAAAACTTAAAAACAAAACATAAAAACAATGAAAATAACTTTTTGAACTGATTCTAGTCTGATTGAATACCTTAATCTTCTGTCAAACTTATCAGTAGGAGGTCCATGTAACTCCTGACAGTTGACAGTTGACTTCAAATCAGTGTAACACGACATGTCATCAATCCTCAATTCACCTTCCTTGCAGTACATACTCATCAGCATCTCTAATTCATACAATTTGTTACTATCACAATTGTCCATTTCATCAGTATTTAGTGTAGATCTTCAATTCAATAAAAAATGATTATTACTTATTAGAATTAATACTTTATTTATATTATCAGTATCACCTCAGACTCAAATCGACTGCAAACTATTCCACCGTACCTTTAAAAAAAAAACTTGTAACCGAATCTACTTTTAACTTTTTATGATGTCTATATAAACATTAATTAAGAATGAATTTAAAAAGTTGCTAACATTTTTTATTGCTAACAGCGTAACAAATTTTTTTATTTTATTAATTTTATTTTTAATAAATAATATATTAATAAATATGTTAAATAATTGTAATTCTGCTCGTAAAAAATAAATTTCAAATAAAAAACGCGTTTATTTATAATGTATTTATTGTCTATGAAAATCAAGCAGTCGATATATGGTATGAGTAAAGGCGATAACGTTTGTATAAATTTGCTGGATTTATTTTCAAGATATTACGCGAAATAATGGGAGAAACTAAACAAAAAGAAGAATTTACTGTTGAAGACAGTTTTTTGGTATTTTTTCGTTTTGTCTTATTTTAAAAATTATATTATATATGATGAGAAGCTTCACAACACGTCGTTGGCACACTTTTTTAATAATTCTTTTATTTTACGAAACAAAAATATTTCATTTTTTTAATTTTTCAAGTAAGAGAACATTTTTTCTCTGTTTAAAATTGTCTTACTAACTTCAAATTTTACAAGCGGTCTATTTTATGATCTATTTTACAACCCAAGAAAGATACAGAATATGGTGGCTACTTATCATTTCCGATAATTTTCGGTATATATATCCATGCAGGTGACATTTAGAAATGTTGAAAATTATTATTTAGATTATTCAAGATGGCGTGCCGCGAACATGCCTTAAAAGTTGGAGATGTCTTTTATTCATTTAGTGAGGTTAAGAAGGCTATAAAAGATTTTGAACTCGAACAAGAGGCTTCGTATTGGCGACGTGACTCGAGGACGATTCAAAATATGATCAAAAGAGGTTATGATTTAGTTGATAATGAAGATATAAAATATTATGACATAACCTACTGCTGTGTAATGGGTGGCCGATCCTATTCTTCGAGGTCATCTGGCGCCAGACCAAACCATAGGTATAATTAATTTATTTTATGAAATATTTCAAATTTCTAGTATTTATTCACTGAAAGAAATGTAGTTCTGTATATAATTTAATGTAATAACCTCTATGACTAGTTAATAAACATCACACCATGTATACATACATATATTATTTATAATTACTCACCAATTAAATTTTCAGCTCATTCAAAAATGGATGTGAATCTTATGTGAAATTCAAATTAGTGGACGATAGGTTAGTAGTTCGACATATGGACATTGGGCACAACCATTCGACACATAGAGAGGTGAGTACAAGGGCACTGAGTCTAAGATGTGCCCAGATTCATATGTCCTAACTAACCCTAGCTAAAAATTTACATTACATCTATAATTTTTTCTTAATCCTACAGCTGGGGACTGATTTTGGCTGTGGTTTTTAAAGTTTTAAACCAGATTAGTCGAAAAATTTACAGGATTTGGGTGATACAAATTTTGGCCGACGTGTTGTGTAAACTTACTCAACTGAAATATAATTTTTTTATTTTTATCAAATTAAAAAAATATCTATTAATTAACAAAATGAAATAAACAGGATGATGTTGATGGTGATCTGAAGTTAGGAGCCAGATATTCCTCATTTGTTGAATTACAAAAAGCTGTTGATGTCTACTGCAAGAAAAATAATGTTAGATTTTTTCGATCTGATTCAAGGAAGTTGAAATCAGCACCGAATAGGATAAATCCTCAAATCATTGAGAAGACCCCAGATTACCTGGTGTATTATTCTCTCACTTACACCTGTGTCTTTGGAGGCAAGAGCTTCAAATCTAGGAACAAGCATGAAAACAAGAGGTTGCAGTTGCTTCATTGGTTTCTGTTTTTACATTGTTTTCAACAGTCGCTGGCCATTCAAATTTATTTGAAGTATTTAACTTAATTAATTTTTGTAAATTATTTATATTTCAATTTTTCCTTGTAGTTCTGTGCAAGAAGGTTGTAAATTCATCATCAGAGTTGGCTTGACTAAAGATTGTCAGATGCTGCAAATAATTAAGGTGAATTGTTTACTTTTATAGAAAGATTATTTATTTGACCTGAAAAAAATATAAGTTGGTAAATATAACCTCCTAAATTGTTTTTTGACACAAAGATGAGTGATCCAGAGGTACACAATCACGTTTTATCAGAAGCCAGTCTGGCAGACATGCCTAAAGTTCGAACTAGCGCATCTTCAGTCCCGGCCACGACTTCTGCCACTGGTAGCAAGAAACTTTCAAAAACTCAACCGAGTCGAGTAGAGGAGAAGAAAGCAAGTAAAAAGGTTCCAGAATCAAAGTTCTCCAGCAAATATATATACGGAACTCACGAGGACCAGTTATTGCATGAACACGATAATGCAATGAACTTAACGAAATATAGAGAAACTGGTTTGTTTTGTGACACCGCTATCGTGGCTAAGGATGGAATGTTGTATGCTCACAGTGCCATTCTTGCCATGAACTGCCCTTATTTCTACTCAGTACTCAATCAACAGCCCTTCTACTCACCAAAAGCAAATATGGTTGACCTTTCCAAGTGGGCTTTCAACTGTTTTTATTTTATTTCTTCAATAAATCATAGTTTTTTCTAGCTTATATGTGTCTGTCTAAATGAGTTTGTGATCTGCTCAAGTAAATTTTTTGCTTACATTTTGTACACTGTGTATTTAATTTGTCTAAGTTTATCAATTGGCATAAATTTCGAAATTGTATTCGTACTAATAACCAAACATTCATTCAAACCTAACTGACTATGGAATGAAACCACATCAGGTATTCATCTGTTGTCATCAATGATCTGCTCGATTTTTTCTACTTTGGAAAGATGTCTATGAAGTACATGGATGAGCTGAATGAGATGGTCAGTTACTTTGATATGGTCATCAATGTTGTCTCTGATGATGACGACGATGATGACGACGACGACGATGATGGAGAAGAATGTGAGGGTGCTTCCAATCAGGCTGCAGAAGATGAAGGTGATGGCGACGAAAATGAGGATGAAGATGATGACGATGATGATGACGATTTTGGCGATCCATTAGTCAGCATTGATGAATTTGAAAACGATCCAGTTGGAAAAATTAACCAAACATTATCAAAAAAAAGCAAAAAAAGTAAAAGTTTTGAGCCTGTCATGAATCATAAGGATGTTGTAAAGTTAGCTGCTGCTTCCAATCCAAAGGAGAAAGATGTACCTGTCTCAACTGTAAAATTGAGAATTCCTCGATCTGGCTTGAGGAAAAAATTAAATAAAAATTTTTCATGTGTTAGATGCAAGAAAGTCTTCTCATCACAACACGACCTCATGAAGCACAAGTTGCTATTTTGCATGTTCAGCAAGTTGAGGATTCGTAGTTATTAAGAAGAAGGGGAGGAGGATGGAGGATTTGTTTCTGTGGTTAGTTTAAAAGATGGTTGAGCCACTAATGCAGTGATTGACACATCTTAGGTATTCACGTTGAAATTGGTTTTATTTTTATTTGGATTGCGAGACATTTAATGTTCGAAATTATGTATAAAGTAGTTGTTTTGTATGTTCTATTGACAGCTGCATATGTTAGAAACAAGAATAGAATCAAATAAACTTTTGTCTCTGTTTTAATTTTCTTATTTTAGTTATTTTTATACGGTTCTATCGTTTGTTCGTCGCTAAGATTAAACAAGCGTTATTATTACAGACGATAAACTAGTCATTTAAACTTTTATTATCTCCGGCAACAAACGACTAATAGAATGAATTAGTTCAGGTACGATACAGCCTCTATAAATTGCCGTTGCGTGTGCATTACTCGAACACCAGCTTGAACTGGACTTGTTCATTTCTCTGTAAAAAAATTTTTGGAGGTAAAAAAGTTACTTTTTGATAAGTTTAAACTTTAAAAGCACGGCGAACTCGATATTTTCTAATCTTTTTTTTTGTATTTCCCGGTCTAGAACGAAAGTCTAGACTGGAAAATAAAAAAATTAAATTGTATCGGTAACACCGAGGTTGCCATTCCTTCTCGGATGGACGGATTTAATACACTGTTGGACCATTCATTTATATGACTCGCTTTATATTTCTAAATGAATGTTTATTGCCAGATGAAATATTTAAAATGCGAACAGTAGTAGCACGAATGAATGAATCACTCGTCGCCGGGATATCATAAATTTATATACTCCATGTTGGGCGGAAAAGTTGTTCATTGACGGTATTAATTAGCTTTCGTTTGATATTGCAATGATTGAATTGAAATGTCATTCATGGTATAATAAATATGTAAAAATGTAACAAAATACTTCAAAAATATGACGGGATCGATATGACAAAAAATATTAACTACCCTCCTCTCCATCTCGGCCAATTTCTTCTTTCTGCGTTTCCTCTCAAACGGAGTGGGCAGTTGTTTTTGGCCCCAAATTTTTTTGTAACAGGGTCTGCATGACTTTCTGCAAATTTGTTTAGTGCACTCTCCGAACAGAAACGGTAGGCAATAGCCGGGCCAATAATAGCATAATAGGCTTAATCTAAAACGTGTTTGTTGTGGCAGGTGTTATTGTCGCTGAAATGTATTTTGGGATCTGTACATGCGCGTGTGTGGTGTGTGTATCTCACATGAGAAAGGCCACAATGCCAGCAGCCACACAGTAGAAGATGTAATCTAACTGTTGAACTGTCTGCGCCTCGATCAGCTTGCCAGCGTGCAGTACCGAAGAATCTACATCCTGTGCCTCTTCTAAGAGAGGATCATATCATGTAAGATATATATAAGATATATAAGATAATAGACTGGAAAATAAATACGATTATACTGACGGACGAAATCAGACGGTCTGCAGGAGAAGTCGGTAACGGATCCAACATCTTTGGTGGTCATGTTGGCGCTACATTTTTTGCACTTGTACCGACCCGGTTTATCCTGATAGAATCCTTTTTCGCATGGACTGCATTGTTTTATGTCACCCCACTGATCGAGTTTAGTTCCTGGAAGGCAGGCAGCTGTTGGGAAAGAAGTGTGTTGCTTGGGAATTCGTTTGTTTAATTGTTTGTTTGTTCGTTCGTTGTATTGAGTTGAGATCTTTGCCCAAACTTTGTTGCGTTATTTATAATTAGTGTTTGTGAGTGTTTATTCAATGTTGGTACTATGTACGTACGTGTTGTATTGCTTAAGATAATATACGGCATTTGTGCGGTATAGATGGTAAACTGTAAAACGTTTGTCATGGTATTTTTATTGCGGTACTTGTTTTATAATTGTTAATTACGTTATGAGGTATTAATTTAAAAAAAACATTACCACATGTCTGTTTGGTCCAGAAGAAGTAACCAGGCGAGCAAATGAATTCTACATCCTCACTGTTCACTACTTTACTCACTACAACCTTACCTTCTAACTCCCGCATCAGCTCGGTGATGTATTGATTCGTTGTAGCTATCTTGTATTTGAGGATAAGTGATGAATGATAAGGGTTAGCATGAATATGACGACGATGATTAAGTTCAAATGATGGTAATAGTTCAAATGATGGTGAAATACACAAACGATGATTCTGACGACGATGGTGATGGTGATAATATATTAATATCATGATAGCCTAACAGTGAAAATGACAACAAAGTGACTAACCGAACTTATGATAAGTTCCTTCATTCTTGTAACTTTACATGGAACCAAGCACTCTTCTACGTCACCATCGACTTTGTAGATGGTTAGTGGATTTGTCTTACGCACTATTATCGTCTCCAGCACTAACACCTTTTGAGATTATGAAATTTAGGGTTCAAATTTTTAAACACACTACAAATTAGGTTATATAAATGTTATTAAAGTAAAGAATATAGTAGGTACATGTTAAATGTTATATATAAATGTTATTAAAGTAAAGAGTATAGTAGGTACATATTCATTTTTTTTTAAATATTAATGATAGATAGAATAGCGTGATAGAATAACTGTTGAGGCGCTTGATCCTGCTGTTGCAGTTTCCGTATTCGAATACAAATAGATCCCTGCCTATCTAGTGCGATCGTGCAATGTTTGTGATGCGTGGATTCACGCGTATATCACACGCGCTGTGTGTGTGTGTGTGTGTGTGTGTGCGTGTGTGTGTGTGCGTGTGTGTGTGTGGCGTTGACATTCCTGAAAGTAAATTACGAAAGAATCAATAATAATAATAATTATAATGATAATAATTATAATAATAATAATTATAGTTAATCCATGAAATCCCACTTAACTGGATTATCCTTAGAATCCAGGTCCTCCCGACAAGTCGCTTTCACATCATAATTGCAATCAAACGGAGTCTCACTACCAGTTGAGGAACACACTTTATTAGAAATCATCTTGAAGAGTTTCTCCGTATAAGGATCACCGCATTGCTCTACGTAAACCGGGAAAAATGATTTCAATGACATTTCCGCTATTCCGTACACTGTCAGAGTGATTTAAATTTTATATTTGGTATGTGACGATTTTGTAGAACTCTTAATAGCATATTCTGTTTAGGTTTTATCAGGTTTTAATGCACTGTTGGAGATAACGTTAACAACTTGAATTGCCGCGTTCTATTTAAGCGAAAATACTTTTTTTCAAAGTAAAAATGTGGATAATTGTATATTTATGAACATATTTTGAAATGTTTTTTAAGAAAATCTAAAAAGTAATTTAAAAACAGAAATGGACGACTTGATGAAGAAATAATTTACCAAAAAGGACAACTTTGAGCTCGTAGAAAATGCTCCCAAACGTTCCCCTGCAGAAGTAGAAACCCGAATTTTCATAAACTATTCTCTGAAACACCAATATCAGGGAATTTTCATCTTTCTCAACTTTGACTTGTTTCTGCGAGGATTTCCTAGCTAGGTCGTCATTCTTCCTGTTGTACCAACTGAAAAGTGGGTGCCGTGCAAAGGAGAGGTAGGTCAGGCAGTTGATTTTAAATGAGGCTTCCAGTGGTTGATATGCTGATAGGGGGGGGGGATTCGGATGTTTATCATTTGGGTGTTTTGTCATTTGAGTGTTTGTCAATTAAACTATATTCAGAAACACTATATTTCAGAAAGTTAAAGAAAAATTAGAATGCACAAAAAGACAAAAATTGAATCTGCCTACCCCTTAACTCAATAGTCCTATCCGTACGGGAAAATTTCGTGATGTTTCCGGGTGGGACTAGTTCGGATGAAGCCAGTTCAGTGGAAGGACGAGGAAGGAAGGTGTGACTCAGTAAAATAGAAGTCTTCCTGTTGCTACGTTTGAATTTGTGGTGGTATGCGCGCTGTTTTTTGTTGTCGTAGTCGTCGACGGTCGTGGCTTCGTCGTTCGGAAGTGTCGAATTTACACTCACGTCAAATGATGCCAAAGCAGTCAAATTGTTGATGTCATCACTGGAGTTGATACTCCGGAATATTTCACTGTTAGATAGCGGAGAAATTTTCTTCGAAATCAAATCTGTAAAATTCGCTTCGGCCGAGTTTTGATCGCTATCAACGTCATTGTGGTAGTTTCTTTTTTTGTTATCACCATCGTCTTCATCATCATAATCACCATTGTAATCATTTATGTATGATGATTTGTCGTAGTGGTGCGAGTAGAAGCCGGTCTGTGAGATCTGTGCTAGCCAGTCTGAAGAATCGAAACTTTCCAAAGATGACCGACTGGAACCTAAAATTTTTTTAGAAATAAATTCAAATAATGAAAGTTTTCAATAAATAAAAAACTAGTTAGTTAATTAGTCAATTAAATTTTATTTATTTATCTAAAAACTTTTCAAACGAACGAAATTTTTGCGAGAAAGCGAGAAAGAAAATAAGGAACCAAACGCCAAATGTCGTCATTTCTGCGTGAGCGAAATTTAAAAAATAATAAAGGGCAGTTACGTCACAGTGACGCGTTCGTTCTCGGTGATAAATTATATAGCGCTTCACGAATTTTCCAACTGTGTAAATGAAAAGTGTGCTAAAACTTGAATATTTAATACATGGTTTTAGCTTAAAAGTTTTTTTTGGTCAGGTTTATCGTGGAATGAAAATTTTCTTTTAATTTTTTAACAAACCCACCTGAGTATAAATACATTTAGAACACTTTAGAGCAAACTTTTGTGTGAGAGTGCGTGTATGTGTTTTATGCACGTGTGCGTGTGCGTGCGTGCGTGTTTATAGTCACAGCAATAAACCAAAAACCGGTGTAGGTGGATGTATTAATGAGATGGGTTTAAAATTATTAATGAAGCCATGGTCACGCTGGTGAAATGGAGAGGTTTATTATGATTATCATTTTTATCAATAATAATAATAATAACAATTATTATTATAACAAGTTAACCAACAGCAACACCAAAGGTGGCAACAAATGGATAATGATGATTAACACTGCCTATATCTGATCCCTATACTAGGAACCAGCCCATCCAGCGTTCTCGTAGGAGTGCGCTTGTGAAAACAAGGACACACACACACGCACACACACACACACACATACATACACACATACATACACACATACGTATGTGTGTGTTTTTTGTTGTGTCTATGTTCTCTCCGAGCAAATGGCAATGTTCTAAGAATATGCAATATAATATATTATGTTATATGTTCTGCGGGTTTACACAATAAATTCTACCAATATAAAATCTCCCTCTTTCTCTTTCTCTCTCTCTCTCTCTCTCTCTCTAGCTATTTCCTCTGTATAGTTGATGATTCATGTTATAATTATAATATTAATTAATAATAATAGAATATTTATTATCATTATTAATATCATTATTATGGTCCCGTTGTTTAAGTGACGGAAAACGTGTTCGTGCAGTTTATACCTCTGAGAACTAACTAGAAAAGAATCTATAATAACATAAACAATAATAACATTATAATTATTAATCATAATAATGATTATTATAATTATTATTTATAATTATTAATTTTTCTTCTTTCTCATTTGTTTGCGTGCGGCTTGTTTCCCGGTGCATCAGAGCATTATTTAACAGTGGAGACGGTAGCTAAAAGCATGCATTGGCCGGTCAAGTTAGTGTTGAATTGTCGCTTTCTTATCTCAACGTTTTAATTGAATTAAATAAATAAATAAATAGTAGATAAATAAATAAATAAATAAACAATAGATAAATAAATCTAAATAAAATATATTTAATAAATATCAAATAACAAGTTGATGTTACCAGGATAGCCTCACAAACGTAGATTGTTAGCAGTTCTTTTGCTTTTTACGTCCTACAAAAATCTGATCGAGTGAATGAATAATGTTCTCTCGATTGAGTGAGGGGATGAATGAATGAACATATGAAAAAATTAATGAATTAAACATGCAAATGATGTTCAATGGAAAATGATTTGTTTTGTAATGTAACAGCCATCTTCATCGTACCATAGAGTTCTAACAAGTTTTTCTTCAAATGTGTAGTTACTAATTAATGCATTAAAAATAATTTTTAATATATTTGTTAATAACGTTAATCGTTATATTATATTTAATTATTGTTATTTATTTTGAAAAAAATTGAAATTTAATTAATTTTTTTTAGACAATCTTGACGAGAAATTTACATCTGGTTTGTTTGGACAGCAGGATAATAAAATTCACCGCAAAATAAAATGTCACAAAAATTGAAAAATGGTAGCAGCCGACTAGCCAACCAGCCACTCCACCAACCATTCAACCAGCCAACTAACCAATCAATCAGCCAACCGGCAAGCCATCCAATCAGCAAACTAGTCACCAACAACTTCCCGACAAAAGTGCATCGTGCAGACGTTCTGATCAATGTGATAAACGAGGAGCACGAACCAACAACCTACAGTCTGGCCTCTCCGTCTACGTCAGAGTCAAACATTTCTTATAGCGAACTGTCGAAGAAAAAACTTTCATTGAATGCCAAAGATAATCCAAATAACCAAAACGCGTCGTATTTCTCGAGCGCGCACAACATTTTTTCAAAGATTTACAACACAAGCAGAGACCAGTCGAAAAAAATTTCTTCCTCGCCACTTCCATCGTCAAACAACAGTTCAGAGAAGATATCCAGCGCTAGCACTAGTCCCAACTTGACAACGAAAACTGTTAAAAATTCCAGTTTTTCTTCTGCTGATTCGTTTCTTCTCTGGTGGAAATCCTCACACAGCAGTCCAAACGCGTCAAGAAGTCCCTCTCCCAATCCTAGCAGTTCGTCATCAGGAATCCCGGCTGTGACGCCCCCTCCACGCCAGAGTACCATCAGGTCTCGATCACTGAGTCCCATCCTACCGAGCCACCAGAGAAACAAGCAACATCACAGATTGTCAGAAGGCAAGAGCGCAAGAAGTAGCAGCAGCGTTGTTAACTTCAACAACTTCTTGCGGCAGTACTTCACGTCCATGAAACAACCGTCAAAATGCGACGTCAGCCATCTAAAGCACAAAACGATCAAGCGATCGAAGTCGGCGTCTCAAGACAGCATCTGCAACATTCCAATCGAGATTCACCATCACCTGCCAGCAGCCACGCACAGTAAAGGATTATCATTCCTTGATAAGCAGTACTCAAAGAAGAAAAAAAATTCCAAATTTGCCAACATAAACGAGCTGGAAGATGAAATAACGTCGACAACGACAACTACGAAGACGATTCCTCTGCTGCTGAACGGTCTGCAGGACGGTCACTTCTCAGTGAAAGGAATCTTGGACATAGTCCCCAGGCGCTACTTCAAAATTTCAATCGAACTTAGAGGTTTCACCGTTGAAGTCAAATTCGAGACCGAACCCGAGGAGAAAATAAACAGATTTTTTAAATCATCGTTCAAAACAAAAGCATTGACGCCGTCGGTGAGGAGGAATTCCATCATGGACGATTATGACGCAACGACCGACCGGATGGCCGGCCAGCAACAAACCATCATCAAGACGACCAATTATAAATTGAACCTTCCCATATATGCCGACCTATCGACCTTAATATTTGACTGGAACAGCGAGATGAAGACTTTGAACATTTCCGGCAAAGTGAAAGGATGCTCTCACTTCCTGGATACTCCCAGTAGCTCCGAGAACGCCACCAACCGAGCCAAACTGACCGCTAACTCATCGCACAACAAAACTAAATTGAAGCGCGCGTCGAAATGTCAGGCTACTGTAGTTAAGGGCAAGCAGGATTCCTCAACGCCAAATTCTAAAACGTCGGAACGTGCAACTTCAAAGACGCAGAAGGAATTTCTTTCGGCGTTCAACTGCTGCAACAACAACAACAACAGCAACAACGAAAACAACCAAAATAATAATAACAACAACACCAGTATGAACATGATGAACAAGAAAAATAATAAGACATCAGACTAAAAATAAACTTCATACAATAAGGAGAGGAAGAAAAATATCCGAGATACGTAATTGCGAGCGTAAGTGTGCATGTCTGCGAGTGCGTGTGTACGTGTGTATGTATGTACGTACGTGCGAATGTGCGTGTGCATGTGTATATGTATGTACGTATGTGTAGTTGTACGTGTGACTATGTGTTTATGTATGCACGTACAGATAAATGTGCGTGTGTATATGAGTATATGTATATATTTTTAGCTGTCATGTCAATAAACAATAAGTGTTCTGAAAAAAAAACACTTGACGACATGTTAATTGCAAACGGATTGCAAACATGTATAACGAGTAGTTATGTTTATACAATGTTCGTTTTTTTATATCCACTGTGTATGTATGTATGTATGTGTGTGTATATGTGTGTGTGTATATGTGTGTGTATGCGTGTGTATGCGTGTGTATGTGTGTGTATGTATGTGTGTGTATGCGTGTGTTTCAACGTGTGTACACTACGTGTATTTGAGTACTTCTCCTTTCATTTAGGTTTTAATGTTTTTTCGTTCTAATTCACGATAGACCTTTAATGATTAATATTAATTGATAAATTAATTACGCATTCAATTACCTTTTTTCTCTTCTCTCTCTCTCTCTCTCTCTTTATATACGTATATATATATATATATATATATATATATATATATATATATATATATATATATATATATATATATATGTATATATATATATACATGTGGACTCACTGATTTCAATTTGTATGTATGTACTCTCGGAGATCACGTGTGCATACTAAATCAGGTGTTCATTTTTAAAAAAGGAAAGAAGTAGGGGGAGGGAGAGAGAGAGAGTGAGAGAGAGAGGAGGAAGAGAGAGATAGGCAGGTAGACAAATAAACAAACAAACAAAGAGAGAGAAAGAGTAATAAAAAACTAAAAAACAGAAAGTGAAAGACAAAGAGACAGAGGGAGAGAGAGAGAGAGAAAAAGAACAGAAATGAAGGGCACAACAAAATGTTTATTCATTCGATAATTTATTCATTCATTCATTCATTCATTCATTCATTCATCCATCTATCCATTCATTCAGTTAGTTATTTAATTGATTCATTTATTCATTTTTGATTTTGAAATGACGTTGACGATGTAGTACCAATACGGAGTTTGATGATGATGTTGATGATGATGTTGATGATGATGTTGATGATGATGTTGATGATGATGTTGATGATGATGTTGATGATGATGTTGATGATGATGTTGATGATGATGTTGATGATGGATATGGAAATACTGGCGGTGAGAATGATGATGATGATGATCAGTAATAACGACGACGATGATGATGATGATGAGGATGATAATGGCGATGACTTCATTCGTCTAACTCGACTACATCATCATTGCGAAAAACCTCATCAATAATAAATACCATTAGTAATATTAACCTTGCTTATTTTAATGTAATAAATACTAATTATTATTATTATTATGATTATGATTATTATTATTATTATTATTATTATTATTATTTATAGGGCACTCGTCTAACGTCATTATTTTTAAAAGAAAGATGACATAGAAGTCCGTATCTGTGTTTACTGAATAATATATAAATATAGACACACGCGCGCAAACACAAACGCACATACACACACACGTACACACACACGTACACACACATACACACACATACACACCTACATGTGTGTAAGTTTGCGCAATATACAAGACGCACGTACGTTAAGTAAACATTGGAAAACCAGCTGACGTATGATTTATACACGCCTCGCCCAAACACGATGAATAATATTAAGCAAACATTGCAGGAAATATTTTTAATATACAACACACACACACGCACACATACATACACACACGCACACATACATACACACACACACGCACACGGACTCTCACACAAATCTATTTTTAGCCAGCGCAACAACGCGCTTATGATTCTCTCTGACGTAAAGATGAGGACATATTGCGATGCAAACTTCTCATGCGCATACATACGTGATCATGACGTCACTGCAAACCGGATGTACGATAACCGACCGACAGATCGACCGACCGGTTGAGCCGAAAGTACCGAAAAACTGGAAAAACTCACTCGAGACGGAGATGAGAGAATTCTCTGGAAAAAAATTATTTTTGATTTTGTATTTATAAATGCCCGATTTTATGTATTTCTGTTGCTTCTATGTTTGTTTGCAGCCGTTCTCTTAATTATTTTTATTCATATTTTGTCTATGTACTTTTTATTTTAGCGTTTTTTCGTATTTTTATCAATACAATTTGTTTCATTTTCTTGAAAGTAAAATTGTCAAAAAAATTTTCCGGCGTTTTTAAAATAAATTTATTGTTGTTTTTTTTCAATTTTTTGTGTGGGGAATCATTAATTATTTCTACTTTTTTACGTTTCCCTCCTTGATTTTTGCACGAAAACGTCATTGAGTGGAGGGTTTTTATGATGATAATGGCCTTCAGATCAAATGAAAAACAATAACAAAATTCTTTATTATTATTATTGTTAGCAGTAGTAGTTGCTAGAGCATGAGCAGCGGTCGTGGTGGTAGCAGTAGTAGGAGCTGCAGTAGAAGCAGTATTAGCAGTAGTAGATAACGTATTAGTAGTAGTTGTTGTTGTAGAAAAAGTAGTAGTAGTAGTAGTAGTAGTAGTGGTAGTGGTAGTAGTAGTAGTGGTAGTGGTAGTGGTAGTAGTAGTAGTAGTAGTAGTAGTAGTAGTAGTAGTAGTAGTAGTAGTAGTAGTAGTAGTAGTGGTAGTTGTAGTAGTCGAAAAATAACTAAAATAATGGTATTAAAAAAATGAAACATATGGGAAAGCGTTTGTTTCCACTGCTACAAATGTACCTACATGCAAAAATATTGCCGATAAATCACCTGGTATCGTTTAACATCGTCACCCACCATCACTAATTAGGATCAATTAGATTTCTAATTGAGTAAAAAATGAATTAACTTTAATTAGTGATTGATAATTAGTTGAATGTATAGATGAAAATTTGTATCATAGACTTCTATGTAATAAACTAGTATATAATACAGATGTCCATGATTTGTATGTATGGGTTTGGTGTGTGTATGCGTGTGTCTGTGTGCGTGTGCATGTGTGTGTGGCGCTAATGCGTTTGCCACTCTGGTGTGTTTTAGCGACGAATAGATTGATTGATTGGTTTATTTATTTATTGATTGATTGATTGACTGATTGATTGATTGATAGCTAATTGGGAAGGTGGATAAACCAAAGATTGAATGAACGAACTAACGAACGAACGAATGAATGAATGAACGAATGAATGAATGAGAAAATAAATAAAAAAATGAATGGATGGCTTGACAGATAGAGGTAGATGAGTAAAAAAATAACCGCTGACCTAACGAGAAAAAAAAGATTAAATAAAAGAATAAATTAATGATTGAATGATCAGCCGATAGATTGATTGATTGATCGTAGAAGGCAATAAATTATGCGCCTGATGCAAAATGGATGAATAATGAATGGATGAACGGATGGACGGACAAACAAAACTTTAAGAATTTGTAAAAACCCACACTAAGAAACACACAGACATACAGAAACATACATACAAACACCCACATACATACAAAAAAAAAGACACACACATACAAACACGCATACAAACACACATACACACACAAACGCCCACACTAATAGATTTACACTGAATTCCGAAAAAAATGCAAAAACAAAACAATAAAAAAGAATATGAAACAACAGACGAAAACAGAAAAAAATAAAAATTCAAAATCGCCTGATTGGTCGAAACTCTCTTGGGGTGTCTACCCCACAAATGTCATAATACACACTACCCTCCAATACAAACAAGAACACTTTATAAAATTTTTATCTGGCATGAAAAATACAAATGCAAAATATATACAAAAAATCTTAAACCCATAACTTTCAATTCAAACAACATACATCTTCTTTCTTTTTATTCTTTTTTTAAAACATACTAAAACAATTTTATACACTATGTTTTTCGTTATGAAATTTATATTAAAATTTATTCACAACAATGAAAGTAAACAGATAATTTTTGAAAAATACCACAAAAATACATGTCTGCCTTGTCAAATACAATACAAAAATACCCAAATTTATACAAAACTGTATAGCAAATCGTACATATTCGTATTGATCTGTACTGTACTTTATTGTATTGTATTGCACTGTACTGAGTTGTTCTGTATTGCATTGTTTTGTTTTGTATTGTATTGTATTGTAATGCATTGTATTGTATTGTATTGAATTGTATTGCATTGTATTGTATTGTACTGTATTGTATTGAATTGTATTGTATTGTATTGAATTGTATTGTATTGTATTGTATAGTATTGTATTGTACGTACACACAATTTTATTATACGCATACGCATTCAGGCATACAATGTAGTACGTACAGTATTAACTTTGCAAAATGGAAGTTTGTAATCAAAGAGAACATGGCAAACATTGAAACGTGCATGCTATATGCGAGATGAAAAATAAGCGGGACTGCGGCTACGCTTTGCTCAAAATGTTTGTTCGTTTTTTGTGTCTACAAAGTTTTTTTTTGTATGTTTTTGTATGTTTTTGGTATAGTTTTTTTCTGTATTTAGTGAATTTTTTTCTGTATTGTTGGTATGTTTTGTAAATATCCCCCTGTTTTGTATATTTCTGCCTGTTTTGTATGTTTCTGTCCTTTTATTTGTATGATTTTTGGTAATGTTGTATTGCATTTGACGGGAAATATTTGTTTCTTTAATGTCTTTTTTTCTGTCACACATACATTTCTAGACGAAGTTTTTCCGCGTAAGAAGTTTTTAAAAGAAGAAAAAACTCAAGTGTTCCTTGTACATGAAAAATAAATAAAGTCTCAACAGGAAAAAGAAGCAGAGAGGAAAGAAGATGGAGAGGAGGAAAAGATGGAAAAATTAAAAAATTAAAGTGACGCACTTCTTCTTTTAATCCTTTGAGGATACCCATCCTTAATGGAGTGGGTGACTCATGTCATGGTGGTAAACTGGTGAGGATGGTGATGAAGAAGAAGATGATGACGATAAAGAAGATGATAACTATGGTGATGATGAAGAAGACTTGAACGATGAACATGTCAGTCTAGTTAATGATAACAACAAAAATATTTCAATGAAATGACCCGATGACGAAAAAGTTAATGGTGATATATAAACGATGATAACAAGAGCGAGAATGTGATAACGATGAAAATGACGATCATGAGGATGAGGATGAAGAGGATGAAGAAGATGATGAGGATGATGATAACAATGATTACGCATGTTTCGGCGGCTGATGCTGTTTATAATGTCGCACGAGCGTTCCGTGCAAGCAGCAATTAGACGCGTTCATCTTCTTCCATCACTGCATAAAAGGTTTCAGTTTGCGCTGCTTATCCGTGCGTTCTTCCCACCTGTCTCCATCGACAGCCATTTTTATTCCACGAAATTAAACTTTAAATAGTTGGATAAACGCATAAATAAGTTGGTAGCCGTCTGGTAAAAACTTCCCCGGTTTAATTGAAAATGTGCAGGCATTTGAATCAATAAATTTTCTTTTACTCTTTTTTTCTATAAATATACAGATTTTACTCTGTTTTCAGACTTTTATGCAATAACTCTTATCGACAAAACATCAGATATGTTGCTATTGTTTATATACTTATTTGGGAAAATAACTATACACATGAAATCAAATAACTAGAATGACAAAAGAAAAAGTAACATGGCTTAAAGTAACTTTTGCATAGGAATTGAACTATGGTACTTGAACTTTGACCTGGAAGCACTTGCGTCATTACAAAACCACCCACCAACAACCAATCAATATTCAAACTTCACTTGTTTCCATGAATAAAAAATGACGATTCATGACGTCACTGTTGCCTCTAGCTTCCAATGCTTGTAATGAAAGAAAGATATTATACTTCTAAAACCCAGAGGTTGCAAACACGACAAGAGAAACACTCGAATATATTTTTATATAATATCTTCTGTCACAACATATAATCAATATGTCATGTCATTGTTCACATGATGACTATGTCAATATTGTCTGTACTCGCGTATACATGCACACGTACATATACGTATACATATACAAATGAATACTCTTTATGTATGCATGATATATATATATATATATATATATACATCGAAATATAGTAATAAAATCATAATTAACAACTATATATCTAGATACGTTCAATGAATGCACACATGCGTACAATACAATACAAAAATACAAAGTACACGTATACAGTAAAATACAAAATACGCTTATGTACACAAATACAAAGTGCACGTATATATTATAATACAAAATACAAGTATACATTACCAAATACATTTATACAATACAATGTAAATACACATAAACAATACAATACAAAATACACTCGTACAATACAATACAATAAAATTCAAAATACACAAATCTAACTTAGTGAAAACTGCTTTAACTTTCCATACATTTCACTTTTAAACTAATTACCAAGTTGTTAATGTAAATATTAATAAAGATGCACATTAAACCGTGATCAGGAAATCAGATTTTGACTAAAAATTCAACAATTTATGGCGATTAAAAATTGAATTGGATCACACAAAAACATCCCGATGAGCAAGGCACATGACTGGAAAGATGAAGAGAGGCAGAAGATTGATGTTCTAGAGGTTTGGAAGCAAGTTCAACGAACTATTGCTAATGAAAAGAAAGAGAAAATTGTTACACGGAATTCCCGTTGGAAAACCATCCGGATATTCGTGTCCTCAACTTTCAAAGATTTTCACACCGAACGTGACGTACTCGTTAAGGAGGTCTCTAAAATTGTTATTGAATTACTTAATCGATTTTTTTAAAATTTGATTTAATTAAATTAAAATATGTCTTTTCAAATTTTGTTTCGAAAACGAAATTAACTTATTTATTTTTAATTTTCAGGTTTTTCCAGATTTACGACAGTGGTGTCAGAGGCGAGATTTGAACTTAGTGGAGTGTGATTTGAGATGGGTAGGTTAAAGAATTTTATAAAGTTCTACCTCCATGGTTAGAATTAGTATTAGTAGATTTAGTATTAGAAAAGAGATGAACATACCTACCACTTCCATCCACTTTTCCGTTTAATTATTGCCAGTGATGTGATAGATTTGAAAAATTTTGTTTTTGAGTTTCCTGATCGATTTCTTTCCTTTTTTAAGTTAAACAAACTTCAGTATTTTTTTTTCAATGTTTTTAATTTTCAGAGGCCATTTGCTTTATTATAAAACTTTCATAAGTATAAACTATAAAATCATTTTGTTATTTTTTTATTTGATTTGATATTTTAAACTAAATTCTAATGTGAATTCAAGGCCATGTTGTTATTAATACCATACAATCTTTCTCTCTCTCTTTCTCTCTCTCTTTCTCTCACTCACTCTCACTCACTCTCTCACACTTTCTCATTTTCATCACTCTTCTCTCTTTCTCTCACTCATTCTCTCCCCCCCTCTCTCTCTCTCTATATATATATGTATATATATAATAATGATGAAAACATTTTGATTGACGTACGAAAGGGTGTGCCACAAGAAACGCCGTACTGCGTTACATTAGAGATATGTTTGGAGGAGATAAGAAGGTGTGAGAGAGAGAATACTTGGCCATATTTTTTGAACATGACAAGGTGGGGTAGTGTTGTTTATTTTGTCTTTGTGAGGGAGTGCTTTTTTTTATTTCTTTCCTTAATTTAAACAGCAAAAGGATAGGTTTCATTCCACTAAAAGATGAACTCCCAGACGAGCTGATCAACAAATTTGACCTTGTCCTCGGCCTCTCGATTGCCGAGATGGAGATTGTTGAGGCGGCATATCGCAAGGGAAACCCTAACTGTTAGTGTCCGCCGGCTGGCCGCCCACTTATTCAGGTGGTCGGTCAGTCGGTTTGTTTGTTAGTGAAAGTGGACATGGTTTTTAATTTTTATTTCAATTTTTCTCTCTTCAGCGCTATTCATGTACAGAGATGAGTCTTTCATTGAGAGCATAACGGATGAAAAGATTAGAAAAGAGTTTGTGGATGAGTTAAATCCGATAGCCAATAAGAAGCTGAAGATTCTTAAAGAGAAGATAGAAGCCAGATTTTCTGTTAGATAATGATGATGGTGATGGTAGTGATAGTAATAATGATAGTTATGATAATGATGATGATGATGATGATGATAATGACGACTTATGGGATTATGAAATTTAGCAGTGGTAATGTTTAACTATAGTAAAAATGATGATTTACAATGATAGTAATGATGATGACAACATTACGATGATGATGATGATAATGATGGTGTTGGTAATGATGCCCTAACAGCCAGAGCAAGTAGTTACGTATACGTGCAGCTACATGCCAGGTAAGAAGATTGCGTTCACGGATCGGACACAATTGGTTCTCAGTGAAAAATTTAAAACAGATGTGAGTTGGTTGGTTGATTGGTTGGTTGGTTGATTGGTTGGTTGATTGGTTGGTTGGTTGGTTGGCTGGTTGGTTGGTTGATTGGCTGGTTGGTTGATTGGTTGGTTGGTTGGTTGATTTATTTATGGTTCATGACAGACTGATTTATACTGTGTACCTTGTTATTATGTAAATGTTTACCTAACATTCGGATGATTAAATAGACAGAAGAAATACATACACATACTCATACACTCATACGCACTCACACACACACTCACGCACGCACACGCACGTTCACACGTACACAGGTCTTGGAATTTTTCAAGAAACGAATAGACGAGGACTACCCCTTAGCGAACAACGAAAGGATGAATAAGATGGACGAAGATTTGAACCAGCACGATGCATTCATGCAGAGTAGGGCCAACCTCGTTCTTGGCAGGCAAGATACTTTGAAGAAGGTTATGATGACGATGATGGTGATGACGATGATGATGGTGACGATGATGGTGATGACGATGATGGTGCCGACGACGATGATGATGACGATATCAATTACTGCTATTGATTTTTTACTACTACCATCTCTGCTATCACTACAACTTCTACATTAACCGACAACTACTACTACAACTCTCTCTACTACTATTACTACAAATAGCAATAATAATAAGAAGAATTATAATAATAATAATAACGACGCAAACAGATAATGACTTACCTGGAAAGCGACAGGCAGAGCCAGTCAATGATTCTAGTGGGTGACTCTGGCTCGGGCAAGTCCTCCATCATGGCCAAACTCGTTTACGATCTGCTCGATAAGATTAAGTAAAATTATTATTTTTTTTTTATTTGAGTATTTTTTTTTTTTTCTTCTGAGGTGTCAACTGCAAACACACAACGCGTCGCAAACTTTGCATGTGATAGGTTGGAATCTGTTTGCGTTTGAACTCGGTCACTGCAACACAAGCGCCAGGTATCTTAGCCATTACAGCATTTTGCGCCCTCCGATTTTGTGATTTATAAAATGTTTACAAATGGACAAAGATGAGTTTTCTGAATAAATAGAAGATTTTTTATGAAAAAAAAGTTGCTTGCCAGTGAGTAAACGAACGAACGAATGAATGAGTAAATGAACGATTAGTTGAATGAATGAATGAATGAATGAATGAATGAATGAATGAATGAATGAATGAATGAATGAATAAACCTATGACTATGATTGAAAGAATGAATTAACGAGTGAATCTGTGAGTGAAAGATTGAATAACTGAATGAAGGAAACAAGTAATGTATGCATTCGTTCATTCATTCATTCATTCATCCATCCATCCATTCATTCATTCATTCATTCATTTATGAAAGAAATTCTTCCGAAAAAACAAATGACGTCATTTTCTTCCATTTTGTTGGGGCCGTGCCTAACTCGACGGAACTGCTAGGCATGATGAAGAGATTTCTACATGAGATGAAACAATTCGATGTATGTATGTATGTTTGTTTGTTTGTTTATTTATTTGTTTGTGTTTTGTTTGTGTTTTGTTTGTTTGTTTGTTTGTATGTTTGCATGTTTGTGTGTTATAAGTAATATGATAAGATTTATTGAAAGATGATTGGCAGTATTCAGTCAAACATCTGTAGCATAGGATTACACAATCATTCATATTAGATATATCTGGTGCATTCAATTGTTATAACTGTGTATGTGAAATTATACGTTTCTATGTACGTGTCTGTGTGTGTTTTTATGTCAAAGTATATGTCTTTGTGTGTGTGCTAGCATAGGATTATGTGCGTGTACGTGTGTGTATGTGCGTGTGTGTGTATTTTGTTTTGTCTACATGTCTCGAATGTATATGAAAAATTTCGATATTTTATGCCTTCGATATCGATTATAAATTTCGATATCTTACATTATATGTCATTAGATGTGATCAAAGTTCAAAAATTAGCATTTTTAATAAGAAAATTCTTACAAGTTATTGCCTAGTTTGTTTAAAAACATACCTTTTGCCACAAACTCCATATATTCCACGCCACACCTGACACAAGAGATAACAATGGTTTTCTTGTTTTAAACGGACGCGTTTGAACCAGGAAAACCAAACGAGCATTAATAACGTGAAACAATCATGACACTTTTGCTGTTTTAGCTTCTCTGCCAACTCACTATCATTCTTTATAATAAGGTGCCGTGTAAAAGCGGAGATCTCTATCAGCATGTGAAAGAGTTTTTGACTATGAAATCTGGCTACTTCTCTCAAAGGAAGATATATATGTTCATTGATGCTTTCAACCAGGTTTGTCTGTTTGTCTGTCTGTCCGTCTGTTTGTCTGTCTATCTATCTGTGTGGTAGCTTGGTCAGTTGATTGAATGGTTAATTAGATGGTTGACTAGTGGCTTGCTTGACTTTTTGTTTTTTTGTGTCATGATTGGCTGATTTTTGGATTGACAGATTCGATGTTTAATCTCTTTTTTTTCTGTGGTTGAGTGGTTTGTATTGAGCTTGGTCGATGCGTAATAATGTTTCATCTTATCCTATATGGCGTTATGTGGCAGAATAGAATGCCGTTCAAATTAAAATAAACGAAAACCAAAATTATAAACTCAAAAAAGTTGGACAAATTGGATCTGGAGAACACGGAATTGAACCCGGTGTCTTCGTGGTTGCCGTCTATCCTGCCGCCACACATCAAGTGCATCATCTCGATGACACCTGGTTCAACTCTCTTTCAAAACTTGGAGAGAAGCAACAACTTTATAGTTGAGAGGATTCCTGAGTTGACATTTTCTCAGAGAGGGGTCAGTTGGTTTCAAAATTTAATTTACAAATTTGCAATTCTCTTTAGTTTATCTCAGATGCATCAACAGCCAGCACAGTATAAAATGAACGCAGATACATGCGAATCATACACATCGTCCGTGATAATCCTGGATCTCTTTTCAACCCATCTTGATCTCTCTTTTATTTAAATATAATCCTTGATCTCTCATAGTGTTTTTCCTGTTGACAACTTTTGAGAGAATTGCAAAAAAGAACTTTGATTTTATACATTTTTTCTCAAAAAAATTCACCCTAGGAAATAGTTGAAGTCTACTTATCGAGATATAGAAAGACGTTGGAAAGAAGACAGGAAAGAATTTTTGTGGAGAAATGCAGTCTCCCTCTGTGGATCATAGTGGCATGCGACGAGTTGAGACTGTTCGGTGAGTTCAAGTTACTAACCGAGTACATTGAAAAGTTGCCTAATAAGTTGGACGAGTTAGTGCTGTTGGTGTGTTGTTCTGGTACGTTGGTGACGATGTATACCGGCGATATTGGCATTGTTTGTGTGTGTATCGTTCATTCATTAATTCATATGTGCAAATTCATTCTATTTCAAATTACATTTGAAATCTCAGCAACCGACCACTCAAAAACCGACCAATCAAAAACCGAACAACCAACAACCAATTAGATTGCTGCTGTTTGTCCTCCATAGAATCTGTCACGACATTGGCGATAGTGAACGTCTACTGATTGCAACTCTCTGCTTGCTGGAATGCTCTAAGAACGGGTTGTTGGAGGTTGAGTTGTTGGAGATGCTGGCTACTTTGGATGACAAATCCAGTTGGTAGTGGCTGGCTGAATGGTCGGTCGATTGATTGACCGGCTGGCTGATTAGTCGGTCGATTGATTGACCAGTTGGTTGATAATGTCGATGAGTTTATTATAATTAGTATCATAAACACAACTTTTAACGCACCAATAAAAAAACCCATGTATTCACACACACACACACACACACATACAAACAAACACACACACGCACGCGCACACACACATACAAACACACGCACGCGCACACACACACACGCACAGACTACGAAATAATGTACAAAGACGGCAAGCCGTTGAAACCGCGCCTGATAGCGTGGAAGTGGTGTACAGTGTTCAGACACCTGAGAACATTCATCAGACCTTACGGAAACCTCGGAGAGGGGAGGCTTAATTTCTACCATCAATCCATGAGTGACGTGGTTAGGAAAAAGTTAGTTGGTTGGCTGGATGGTTGATTGATTGATTGATTGGTTGATTGATTGATTGATTGATTGATTGATTGATTGATTGATTGATTGATTGATTGATTGATTGATTGATTGATTGATTGATTGATTGATTGATTGATTGATTGATTGATTGATTGATTGATTGATTGATTGATTGTGGTTGATTGATTGATTGATTGATTGTGGTTGATTGATTGTGATTGATTGATTGTGATTGATTGATTGACACTACAGCTACCTCAGTTCAAAGGAGCAAGTCATGAAGTACCACAGCATGTTATCTGATTACTTTGAGTCATGTGAGAACATCGATAGGGAGATCGAGGTTGTGTATTACTTTCATCATCTATCAGTTAGTAGCTGTATTAAACGAAATACAACAAAATAAAACATCAAAATACCAAAAAATGCCACTAATTAGAACAAGAAAAACACAACAACAACAACGAAATACTACAACAAGCAACATATTACTATATAAAAACGCAACAAATACAGCAACAAAACACACAAAAATACAACAACCTTAAAACAATATCGCAGGAATACCCCTACCATTTAATGATGCAGGATGACAGAGTGAATATGAAATCATTTTTACTAGACTGGGAGGTCTTCGATCGTTTGTACAACAGCGTCTTCAGCAAAGAACTTATCGACCTCTGGCGCTTTATAGATGTTCTCTTTGTCATTTTTTATTATGAATAATTATTTATAATTATTTTTATTTGTTTTTTCATTCATTAGCTTGTTAATTCATTAGTTTATTCCTTTATTCACTTGCATACACACACACACACCACCACACACACACACACACACACACACACACACACACACACACACACACACATACACACACACACACACACATACATTCATATACCTACACACCATTAGAATTACAATATATTTATACGCACGCACATGTACACGTTCACAAACACGACGGACACACACACACACACACACACACACACACATACATACATATACATACGCACGTACACACACACACACACGTACATATCCAGGAAGATTATACAGTTATGTATGAATCGTACAAGAAGGCGTGGGATAAGATGGGAGAATACAGGAAAGATAATCTCTACTGGAAGAAAGGAGAGGAACTTGCTAGATTATTGTTATTTTTTATTATTATTATTGTTGTTGTTGTTATTATTGTTGTTGTTTTTATAATTATTACTGATATTTTTATCAAAATTTTTGGATTTTGTTTGACGCCAAGAGAGCAAAAAATACCAAACGACACCGACATACTGTACATGCAAACAAACCAAACAAACAAACAAACCAAACAAACATACATACATACATACATACATACATACATACATACATACATACATACATACATACAAAACACAGCTGCCTGCCTAGAGAACTTACAGGCATACAACCTAACAAAGTATTGTCTAAACAATCATACAAGCATAGATACAAACACACAAACATTACTACTACTACTACTGCTGTTGTTGCTGCTGTTGCTGCTGCTGCTGCTACTAATAATATCAATAATTCTAATGATATAATGAGGATAATGATAAAATGTACTGGACTCTCATAGCAAATATACATGCAGACAAACATACAATCATACAACAGCAACCAAACGGGCCTAAAAACACAAGCTTACAACCTAACCAAGGAATGTCTAGACAGATACCAACATGTTCGAGATCCGACTGTGGAAGACAACAAACAAATTATGTTTCTGTCAGGACTGTTGGGTTATCTGGAATATACATGCGTTAGAATTTGTTGTTGTCGTGGTTGTTGTTATTGTTGTTGTTGTTATTGTTGTTGTTGTTACTTTTGTTGTTGTTTTTACTTTTGTTGTTGTTATTGTTGTTGTTGTATTGATGATGGTGATATAGATGATGGTGGTGATAATAATAATGATGATGATGTTATTATGATTGTTGCTTCAGTTTGTTCTTATGCAAATTCCAAATGTGTTGTATAGTTTTAAACTCTTGATGACTGCTCTCTCCATTTACCCAATTATTAATTTTACTTAATTGATTGAATAAATCAATTAATTAACTAATTAATTAACTCTGTATCACGATTTTACGACCAAAATTTTGAACTTTTTCTTTTTCCACAAAATTTTAGAATAGAAATCTTGACAAGGCCATTGAGTTAAGGAGAGAAGCTATCAAAAGAAATGGCATGTTGCCAGGCGTAGAGCGAGAGACGGTAGATATACAGGTTGTGTTTTTATTTGTATGTGAAGTTTGTTTGTATGTTTTTTTACGTGGTGTTTGTATGTATGTGATGTTTGTTTGTATGTGATATTTGTTTGTATGCTGTTTGTTTGTTTGTATGTAATGTTATGTGTTGTTTGTATGTGATGTTGTTTGTTTGTTTGTACGTGATGTTTTATTCGTATTGTTTTGTCCGTACGTGATTTTGTTTTATGTGATGTTGTTTGTATGTTTGTTTGTTAGTTTGTTTCGGTGTTTTGGTGTTTATATGTATATATTGTTTATATATTTATGCACACACACACACACACACACACACACACACACACACATACACACACATACACACACACACATACACACACACACAAACACTTATTTATATTTACAAATTTGTTTAAACAGAAAAACTTAGCCCTACAGTACAACCAACTGGCATTCTTGATTGGCGAAAAAGTTAAAGGAATGTCCAACTTATTCTTCCAGGGCAAGAAGAGTGAACTAAGGTCTGAGGGCTTGAAGGCTTGTAGGGAATCTAAGGCCATCTACGATAAGGTGAATGAGAAATTATTTTTTAATTATAATTATAAAAATTATAATTTATATTTTATTTGTTTTTGTTGGTTCTCTTTTTCAACAGATTAGGGCCTATTCGTTCATGCTGGATACATATATATCTGAAGCCAATTTGCAAAGCTCCCAAACTGAAGCACATAAAGTATTTATTTGTTTGTTTGTTTATTAATTTATTTATTTATTAATTATATTTTAAAAATGTTCTCAAAAACTTAAAACCCAAAAACCCAACAGATATACGCAAAGTTGATAAGGGACTGCATTTCGATACACGGTGCTGAACACAACCTCGTGGTGAGGGCCTCCTACAACGATGCCAACATATACGAAAAAGAGAAAAATTTTCTTGACGCTTACAGAGGTTACAAAGTTTCTTATCTGCTAGGGAAGAAGCTGTTGGGACCGAAACATACTTCCACTTTGCAGTACAAAGATATCCTTCTGGAGCCGAAGTACCAAGCGATAATGAAGGAGAAGAAGGAAGATGTTGAGAATATGATTTGGGGAGATGATTGCTTGGAGTTACTTAAGATCTAACTGTGCTCCTGTGTGCGATCATTTAGATCTGAATTATCTAAATTAGTTGTTCGCTGGTTCTTTGAATTAAACGCGCTACCAAATTTTATTTTAGATCGTGTTTATCATTTTTATTTTACAATCATGAATTCCTCTTAGTTCATGTTCAGCTTTGTATGTTTCTTATATATGTATCTAATATTACATGTAAGGTGTAAGTGCCGTAGTTGATATTGTAATCAATTTTTTATTGTAACTAACTACATTATCATAATTATTACGTTAATTAATTTATTAAATAAGTAATTATTGCGTTAATTAATAAAATGTAATTGCTAACTTAATGATCGTAAAACACTTTTATGTCGTCCACTGGTATTTCATATTTCTTTGAATTTCTTCAACTATTTACTATTTTCTATATTATTTCCATGCTTTGTGATATTAACGAAAATGTTCCTATCTCCCATTTCATTGTATAACCATTTTATTTTATGCTATTTCACATTCTAATTTAATACCCTCACAACTTTTTGTATTTATTCGTTTGTATTTAAAATCGCTTCAAAAGCATTCCACAAAACTTGCATGCCGTGCTATTTAATGCAACATATAATTATAGTATTATAATATAATTATGATATTATAATATAATATTGTATATAATTGTGTAATAATATTCTGCTTCTACATTATTTGATAACAAGGTGATTATAAATAATATTCATAATTTGAAAAATCTGATATACTACTGATAACTAATTTAAACCTATTTGTATGATAACAATAATAATATATAGTAAGTATAATATAAATATATTCTAATATATATATATATTATATATATATATATATATATATATATATATATATATATATTTTGGTCGAGTGCTTTTTGAAGCGCTATATAGAATAGATGACTCATTATTATTATTATTACTAATAGTTGTAGCAGTAGTAGCAGCAGTAGCAGTAGTAGTAGTAGCAGCAGCAGTAGCAGTAGTAGTAGTGGTGCTATTGTTGTTTATTATGTGCTAATGATATATCTGATTTTTGAGCTATTTTCCGCTTACTTAAAGTTAATACCTCATATCTATCATTTTTTTTCTCAGATGCTACTTATTCTGTACTTGTGTGTTTGAGATGATTTTACTATTATACAAGAATTACCGTTTATATGGTATGTATTAATAATAAATCTGAGACAATATGATTTTATGTTATGTTTGATATATATTTTTTTAATGAGTTCTAGGTTTGTTAGTGTCTTTTTTAATTTTAATAGTTTAACAACCTTGCATATTTGAAATGTTATCGTTAAATAAAACAAAAACTCCCACATTTTTTAGAAATAATTCATATTTTTGAAAGAATTCAATTTTAAATGACGAAAATTTCATTTTATACAAATGTAAATTTCAATAAATACTTAAAAAAAAATAATTACACTAGTTCATGATCTAACCCTTCTTCAACTGCGAAAGTTAAAGTGAAGAAAAATTTAATCAAAACACGAACTATGCCTATCAAAATGATATAATGAAACAATTTTGTGGCTAAATGATAGAATGAAACAATTTTGTATGTATGTGTGTGTGTATGTTTGTTTGTATGTATGTGTGTGTGTGTGTTTGTATGTATGTATATACAATGATAAAACGCTAAAACGAGCTTAAATAATGAGTCCTTTTTTGGTAACATAAATAAGGTTTTACAAAGTTGTTTCTTCAAACGGTTTATGTCGTTCTTTTTATCGTGCTATAGATGTTATACAGATAGATACAGATACTCAATGGATACAAAATACTCAATGGATATAAGATACTTAATGGATACAAGATACTTAATGGATACAAGATACTCAATGGATACAAGATACTCAATGGATACAAGATACTCGATAGATACAAATACTAATTCAAGTGCTTCCGTGAAACGATCGAACTTTCATCGGGATGTACCCAACATTTGCCATTTCGTCAACTTTCTGGCAGAACAACTCACATTTCAGAGCAACACTTCTGGACAGGTTGCTGAAATTTCTGACGGTTCTATCGGAATGTGAGTGGATTGAGTAACTGTACGGACGAGATTTCTCAGGTGTGTGGCTATGGTGATGGTAGACGTTTTTCAACTGGTTGTCTGACGCTGATCTTTTGTAAGTTTTTGGAGGTAAGAAAGGTAGATCTGTGTCAAACTGTAGGCAATAGTTATCTTCGATTTCATTGGCTGAATTATTTTTGTCAATTTCGAGATTTTGTTTTGGAGGTACAGAAAAATAAGGCTGATGTTTTTGATTAAAATCTAAAAATGACGTCTGAAGATTTTTTGTTTCAACGCTTCTTTCTTCTGTGAAGCTTCCGTCCGTGTTGCAGTAGACATATTCGGAGATGCTATCAGTTGAGGGAGGAAAGATATTTTTTGATGGCGCTGGTTTGTGCTTCAGCCCTCCAGACGTGATAGGAATCATTCGCATTTGAAACTCGGGCAGATTATCGTAAACACCTTTGTGAGCCCGATTCAACGACAAGTTGTTGTCTTCCGGTGCATTTATTTTCACTCCAATTAGCGATGTCATGTTTGAAGCTTTATTTACTCTGTCGCAGTTTGTGAGGCAAGTTTCCTGTTTATCAGGAAAGTAACTGTCGCTCGAAGCTATTGTTGAAATTGAAGATGACGATGATGACGTTAACGATGGCAAAGCTAACGCAGATAGGTGTGGAGATGTTGTTGATGATGATGATGACGTCAACGAAAATAAACGTGATGGGTGAGACTCTTTACCCACCGCTTCGATACTTTTCGGAAATACCATCGTTTCTGGCAGAATTCCGACATCGGAGAACCGACCTTTCTTCGGTTCGATGGAACATCTCCTGAAAGATGATATCCCCGCGAAAGATGATCTCAATTTGTTTCTGAATCTCGTCAGCGTGTTATGTTTCTCGCTGTTGCTGACCTCCAGTGAAGGTTCACACGAAGCGTCGTCGGTTGCGTCTGGTTTGCTCCAGTCGAGTCCGTTTAATTTCTTGTCTAATTCTAATTTTAAATTTTTTCCAAAATGTTGCGGACGTGAGTTGTCATTGCTGAAGCGCGGTGAAGATAACTTGGTGACTTTTTTCGAATCATTTTTATGCTGCTTGCCATTTCTGAAAACCTCATAACTGAACTGCTCGGTATCTAGTGTGGCCCCGGCGAACCGTTTGTTGGTTTTGCTTGTAAATTTCTGCTTTATCCAGTTGAAAAAATAATTCGTTTCGATCATTTTTCAATTCAGTGAGTATTAAAATTGTTACTTAATCCAACGCTCTCTGACTAATACACTAATTCCATCAAAGAATACTGTTTTAAAGACATTACGTATAATTTCTGTTTCAAACCTATAAAAATATTAAAACAACAATAATAATTGATTACTAATTTAATCTAGAAGATATTCTTCTAACTTTTGATAAATTCATTTCCGTTATAACAAGAAACCCACGTACTCGCGTGTAAATATAGGTAGCACACGTCTATCGACTAAGCAAGCACACATACATACATAAGCATGTATATATTGATCTAATATTAATATAATGAATACTATATAACTATGTATGTGTGTATATAAATGTATGTATGTTTATGTATATATATATATATATGCATGCATGCATGCATGTGTGTATATATGGTGTATATATGTGAATTTTTATATGTGTGTATGTATGTAATGTATCTGTATGTATGCGTACGTATATAAGTGTATGTATACGTAGTGTATGTAAGTGTGTATGTATGTATGTATGTGTATGTATGTATGTGCGTGTATGTAAGCGTGCGTATATGAGTGTATACTTAT